GCTCAATCGACTGAGCCACCCAGGCGTCCCTGTTTGTCTGTTTTCTGTGCCATCGATTTCTGCTCTTTATTGTTGCTTTTCTTCTACTTTGGTTTAATTTACTCTTCTTAGTCTACTTTCTTAAGGTGAAAACATAGATAATTGATTTTTAACCATTTCTTCCTTCCTAACATAAGCATTTAAAGCCACAAATACACGTCTAAGACCTGTTTTTCTGCATTCTGTACATCTTGATATGTTGTGTTTTCTTATTGCTTGATTTAAAATGTTTTCTAATTCCTCTCGTGATTTCTTCTTTTTTTTTATAACCTTTGACTCTGTCTTTTTTTTTTTTTAAGATTTTATTTATTTATTTATTTAATTGACAGAGAGAGAGAGACAGAGACAGAGAGAGAGGGAACACAAGCAGGGGGAGTGGGAGAGGGAGAAGCACGCTTCTGGCTGAGCAGGGAGCCCGATGCGGGGCTCGATCCCAGGACCCTGGGATCATGACCTGAGCTGAAGGCAGTTGCTTAACCAACTGAGCCACCCAGGCGCCCCTCTCGTGATTTCTTCTTTACCTGTGGTTTATTTACAAGTGTGTTGTTTAATTTGCAGATATCTGGGGCTTTTCTAGCTAGCTTACTATTGTTGATTTTGAATTTATGTCCCTTGCAGTCAGAGAATGTGTTCTGTAAGTCTTTGTATTTGGAAATTTGTTGAGATTTATCTTTGGGTCCAGCATATTCATCTGGGTGAAGAGCATATTGTACCTCTTGGGTGTTAAATATGGGTGGGATATAAGGTTAGTTAGGTCAAGGTGGTTAACAGTGCTGTTAGGATCTTGTGCATCTTTACCGATTTTCTCAGTGACTGTCCTATCAGTTATGTAGAAGGGTAGTGAAGCTTCCGGCTCTTTCTTCTTTCTGTTGTCAGTCCTCACTTCTTGTATACTGAAGCTCTCTTATTTAGCACATTGTCCTGTCTTTTTGATATACTGCCCCATCATCACGAAGTTGTTATAGCTAGTAGTAATCTTTATTTTGAAATCTACTTTGTCTAATATTAATATAACCGCTTCTTCTTCCCCTTCAGCTTAAGGACTTTCTTCCTACAGATTGAATTGGTTAGGTGAACTTTTCCGTAAAACCTTTCCGGAGCACCTGGGTGGCTCAGTCAGTTAAGCATCCCATTCTTGGTTTGGGTTCAGGTCGTGTTCTGGGTCTGGCTATCAAGCCCTATGGTGTCAGGCTCTGCGCTCAGCGCGGAGTCTGCTCCCCCTCCCCTCTCCCTCTGCTTCTCCACCCCTCATGGATGCTCTCTCTCTTCCTCTCTAAAATAAATCTTAAAAAAAAAACAAACCACTTCCAGTACAATGAAATGTTGAAATTGCATAATTATTTAAAAAACTAAATATTTTTTATTTTTTAGACTTCGACCTGGTAACTATATTTTTTTTCCAGTTGTAGAAAAAATCCATTTATGGTAGTATCATTGATTCTTTTTGGAGCAGAGGCTGCCCGTCCTCCTCTGCCTTCAATTCCATGATTGTTTCTGTCTCCAGTAGGACAGTGAAAACAAACAAAACCCTGAATATCCCCTGACCCAAGATTCAAAGCAACTCCAAGGCAGAGAAAAACAGTTAATTACAGTTTTTTAGATTTTTTTCATGATTTTTGAAAAAGTTTTTATTTATTTATTTATTAGAGAGTGAGAGAGAGGGAGCCCAAGACGGGGTAGGGCCAGAGGGAGAAGCAGACCCCCTGCTGAGTGGGGAGCCCAATGTGGGACTCGATCCCGAGACTCCAGGATCATGACCTGAGCCGAAGGCAGTCGCTTCACCAACTGAGCCACCCAGGCACCCTATTTTATTTTATTTTTTTTTAGAGATTTTATTTATTTATTTGAGAGAGAGAGAGAATGAGAGATAGAAAGCACGAGAGGGAAGAGGGTCAGAGGGAGAAGCAGACTCCCCGCTGAGCAGGAAGCCCGATGTGGGACTCGATCCCGGGACTCCAGGATCATGACCTGAGCCGAAGGCAGTCGCTTAACCAACTGAGCCACCCAGGCGCCCTTTTTTCATGATTTTTAAAAGAGACAACAGAGTTGATTTGTATTTTGTTAAAATAAAAATATTGTTACTTGAGCAAAGGTTAGTGATGCTCAGATGAAAGTGCCTTTCTAAATGTATTAGTTCATTATTTCTGAGTGAAATATCTGTGGAGGCATGAAAGAATTATGTCACAATAAGCAGAATATGTTTCAGGGTATGATAACCAGTTTTCATATTAATGATGAGAAGAGTGGATGGTGATTTGTCTCAGTGACTAGGCTGTTTGACTATCCAGTTCTTTTTTTTTTTTTAAGATTTTATTTATTTGACAGAGAGATAGAGCCAGAGAGCACAGGAGGGGAATGGCAGAGGCAGAGGGAGAAGCAGACTCCCCACTGAGCAGGGAGCCCGATGGGCGACTCGATCCCAGGACCCCGAGATCATGACCTGAGCTGGAGGCAGATGATTAACTGACTGAGCCACCCAGGTGCCCCTTGACTATCCAGTCCTAAAAACTACTTTTTTTCATACAGAGTGTTGAAAAATCAGAACTGTTGCTAGCTCCAATGGTTTCTTGCTCTTTCCAACTAAAGCAGGGCTTCTCAGCCTTGGCACGATTAACATTTGGGCCAGATTATTTGTCATGGGGCCTGTCCTGTGCGTTGTAGGCTATTGAGTGTCCTCCCTGTCTGCCACCATTGAATGCCAGGGTGGAAGAGTATGTTACAGAACCTGTGAGAGTAGAAATATTTCCAGACATCATCAGATATCCCCTGAGGGGCAAGGTCCCTCCCAGTAGAGGCATGACAGGCCCCAGGTAGAGGTGGGGTCTTCAGCAACCTAGTCCTGAGTCAGGGGACGCCCCTCGAGGTGTGGGGCCTTGAGGAAGAGCCTTTGCTGGTCTCTTCCAATGTGGACCCCAGGGACGGGGAATGAAAGATGCTCTGTAATCAGTTGCCTAAGTGCCCCCAAAAGAATGTTCCACTTGACCTTTTTTTCTTTCCCCCTTTTGCCTGATTGGTATCTTTATTCAACTCCCCTGTCCTGGTGAAAAAAAGGTATTTCTATCATGCCACTCAAAGGATGGTCTGGAGTGGTATGTTCTTTGGAACCCTCGTTCTAAGGGATGGTGACTAGATAGTATGTAAGAAGGGATCCTAGGGGAAAAAAAGTTTGGGAAATATTGGTTTAAATAAAGGTAAACTGTTTTCTTTATTTTGTAGGGTTTTTGAAAGCTTTTAATATCAGTGGTAAATTATGGCTCTCCAAAAGGAGCTAGAGTGGGCCTCTGTCAAAATTTTCTGAACATGAAATTCCTTCATAAAGCATTTTCTAGAGAAAGAATGTTCTATGGGATGTATTTGGGAAGCATTGTTCTAAAGGCATTCAGAAGGGGCTGGTTCTGTGGGCCAGAGTTCTGGTGAGGAGCAGGTGGTGGGGTAAGTACTAAGCTGACATAATGAATGGAGGGTGTCATGATCTGGTCTCTGCACACACCAGAATGGCCGTCCATGCCGGTTATTAGAATAGCGAAAGACTCATATTCTGGGTGGTAAATGGCTACCCTGAGCCTCTTGAGTGCTGCCCGCTCCCACCTCCACCCTCCACCTGGCCCTTTGCCCAGCACTCCCCAGACCTCTCCTCTCTCCAGAACTAAAAGGTTCATGCCTGGGTCAACAGGGGCCCCCTCCGTAGTACCTTGCTCCAGTATTATGGGCTGTGTCTTTTCTGGTTGGTTGTTGACCACGGTGCACAAGTGGCTACCATTTTGCACATCATCCTGGGGTTGAGGGAGGCAGTTGGGGAAAATAAATGGAAAAGGAGTCTAAAACTTTTAGTCAGAAATATCCTCACACTCGGGTTGTTCAGCCTTCTCCTATATACCAGGCTCCTGTTTGCTGGCTAGCATGAGAGACTTAAAATACTCACATTGACTTAAGACAGTGATAATACACTATTGGATATAACTGCTCTTTGAAGAACCAAACAAACGCTGAGCTTTACACTGTATGTTAAAAGTTGGTAGAACAGACTTTTGCAGTTCAAAGAAAGATTATTCCCACAGTCTCTTTCCTTGTCTAGGAGATGGAAGTCTCCGGGGGATCGAGTCATTTGATTGGGTGTGACCAGGGGCCCATCCATGGGGAGGCGTGTCTCTTGTAAGGGGTCTGTGGAGAGGGGTGACAGCCAACCTCAGCCCGTCCACTTCTGTTACACTCATATTGGTATGACTTTGGGTGTGAACATGGTGCCGGGCAGATCAGTCTTCATAAAGAAGAGCCAGCAGTAGACACAGCTGCCAAGAGAATACCAGTCATCAGCTGAATGAAATTGAAAACATGTACAGCGTTCGTTAAAGACAAGGAGGAAGGCTGGTCTGTTCGTGGAAATCTGAAATGGGTACTTCAGATGGTATTCATGTTGCTCAGCCTGTTAGTTCCCAGAAACTGATTAATAGGAAATTTTAATGTCTGTTTCTATGTTTATTAATTATAAAAGAAACTACCAGGGTATTCTTTCAGGAGCTTAGATAGGGAAAATTTGAATATATGTCCAAAGCTATAAGAAGCTTGGTTTTTTTTTTTAATTTTTATTTATTAGAGAGAGAGAGAATGAGAGATAGCACGAGAGGGAAGAGGGTCAGAGGGAGAAGCAGACTCCCTGCTGAGCAGGGAGCCCGATGTGGGACTCAATCCCGGGACTCCAAGATCATGACCTGAGCCGAAGGCAGTCGCTTAACCAACTGAGCCACCCAGGCGCCCCAAGAAGCTTGGTTTTTATCAGATAATAATGCAGAACGAGACGTGTTGAACTTTAGCTGCTGATGGGAGAAATATAAGCTGATTAACTTGCTTGAAATATTTGTGAGTTTTTCGGTTGTGATCATGGGTAATATAATGATTGAATAACCCTAATTGAAAGTTGACTTAAATTATAAACTAGCTATTTATTTTTACTTATACAATAGTATTGAGCAAGTGAACAGTCTGCGGGAGATACAAGCACTGAGACGCCTGAATCCACACCCTAACATTCTTATGTTGCATGAAGTGGTTTTGTAAGTATATTTGGGGCTTTACAAATTATCTCAATTTGATAAGAACAATTAAATCTCTTTTTAAGAAAGAAAACTGTGATTAGACGTTTAAAATATTTGCTTTGTGGCTCAGGGAGTAATAATTTTCATTTTATCTTAAGTCACATATGTATTTACTTGGACAAATGCGTAACTGATTCCTACTGTGGAAATGCTTTCATTTAGGTGACTCCGTATCACAAGAGCATACAGAATTCAAACGGCTCCTCCTGTAGCTCAGGGAGGCTTCCCTGGAGACAGTGGCCTGGGCGGGCGAGGCCTCAAGTGTGGATGGCCGCCTCCTGGGAGAGGACTGGTGTCACCTGGCTAGGGCTGCCCCTGCTGTACCCCCGCCAGCTGGTCTGCCTGCACTGTCTCAGGCAGTGAGACCTGCTGCCTTCCTGTGGTTGATGTAATCCAGGGGACTTTTCATTTCTCTTCTAATTCTAGAAGAGCCTCCCTAAGGCTTAGCTGCCGATCAAGAAGGCAGAGCACAGCTCATCCCCAGGTGCCTGCAGTTCTGATCTCTGAGCCAGGGACTCGGACCCAGCGTCCTGGGACCGGCCTTTCTGTGGCCCCGAGAAGGTGCACGCCGGGTGAAGCCTCTCTCAGGCTCTCCAGGCTGCTTTAAACCCAGCCAGGTCTCTGACAGTTCAAGTGCGGCAGGTTTTAATCAGAGGATGGAGCCGTCTTAAACTCAGGGTGGAATGTCTTGTCACAGCTGCGTGGCCTCCCGGCCTGCAGTGCCCTGAGAGGTCAGTGCGGCTGGGGCCGGAGACTGCAGGCCGAGGCTGTCACTGCCTGCGTGGCCCGTGCTTCACAGGCGCCTCTTCCCCGGGACGGCGCGCGGGGCTCCTGACTCACCGTCCCCGCCGGACGCACCCTGAGCGGGGGCCGGAGCACCACATTCTCCCCGCCCGGGTCGTGCCAGCTCGGCCAGCGGCCTCTGTCCCCACCCCGGGCAAGGCCTGGACACCACATGGGTGTGGTGTGACCCGTCTTTCTCCCTTTTCCCCTGACTGCTTTGTGGATTTTGTTCCCCCATTATAATTTGTCCCTGTTACATGGAAGGAATTTAGGTAAATTAAAACTAAATTTGCAGTCATGGAGCATGAATTAAATTCTTTTTCCTCTGTGTTGCTTAGCCAACTCCTCAACCTCATTTCTCCTTTCTACTGGTAGTTAATTTTATATTTTTAAGACACATCTCGTTAAAAAGAGGGGAAGTGTTTAGAATTTTTGCTTCAAGTTAAGGTTTTACTGTTATTTTAAGTGAATTTTACCTGAAGTACTGATTGAAAATCACAACTTCTGTTTCAGTCAGGACACTTCAGCCTTTGATGCGGGAATGCTTTATGTCTACCAGAAATGTTTACAAATGAATTAAATATTTGATTATATTTTCTGATTACGACAAGAAAAAACATTTTGACAAACCTGCTCTCTTCTTCAGTGACAGAAAATCTGGTTCTCTTGCACTAATATGTGAACTTATGGACATGAATATTTATGAGCTAATACGAGGTACGTAGAATAATTTGCGAGCTAATCTAAGATCTCCTCTTAAAGCTTGTAGTTCACACATACTTTGTTTTCCTTCTCAAAATCGTTAGCCACCAGAGTGCAGTAGTTACATATAAATATACGGTACTGAGCTACTTCACGCTTGGGAGGTATTTTTCTGGCATTCTCGTCTACTCCAAACGGAGGGCTGCCAATGAGAAAAGTAAAGCCGTATGCCTTCAGGCTGGCTGGTGAGGCGGGTGAGGATGGCTCCCAATCGCAGAGCCAGCTCAGGCCTTCCCCACCTCGGGTCCTGGCAGGGGCGCTCTGCCCCTCCGGGATCAGCCTCCGGGTCCGGCTGCTGTTAACATTCTGTTCTGGCCTCAAAAGAAGGCAAGGCTTGCCCCCAAGCATAATCCCTCTGAGGAGAGACGACCTCCTCCTGTTTGGATCCTCACAAAGTCTCTCCCGGGTTACAGGGTGCTCACTTACTTTCTTCTGAACAATAAAGCACTGTTTAGGAAAGCACACGGGCCTGAGCCAGCCTCTGTCGGGGCTGGTTCTGGAGGCTGAGAGGTCACCTGAAGAAACTAGAGAAAAGGAGGCAGATGGTTGGCCCACATTTAGTAAATATCCCTGGGGGTCTGGCTGCACAGTTGTGTTAGATGTCAGGACAAATGAGCCTCATAGATGTCACTGGGAAACGGCACCAGATGTGTGGTATTTTACAGATCACATTGTGCTTATTGGACAGATGAAAACAAATCAGCTGCTCCGTGTTCTGTGAGTGACTGAGTAGTTATGGCCGGAATAGAATTTTAGTGGCAGAAGCATAGATAATTTAAAAACTGCTGTATTATCTGAAACAATTCAGGCCAAACCGAAGATGGTGTGCTATGTAAAATTTTTAAGACCAAGAAGCTATTCTTGTGAGGAAGAAGACACTGGTGCTGCAGATGCACGTGAAGAGCTCAAATAAAATTGTTATGATGTGGGAAAGTGGAAAAAAGCTTTGTTATCAAACTAGTATTTTTTACATGTGATTTGAAATGTGTGCTTCAGTAAATTACTAATAAAATAAGTAGCATAGATAGGCAAGTTTTTCTACATCTGTAGACGTTGATGAAAAACTTTTGGATCTAAAAACTTTAGGATCTTTTTGAGAAAATAGGAGACTGCCTTATATCTGGGAATAAATGGTATTTATGTTACAGACCTTGTGCATTTTATTCATAGGTAAGCCCATCACTCAGGGATCTGTTTAATTGTGTTTTAAGTCCAATTCTAACAAAGTTATCGGGTTTCTCGGTTTAAAACCTATTAAGAATAGAGCTATTGGTTAGAAGGAGCTTCTAGAACTTGGCCCATCAGCAGTAACAGAAAGTGACAGGTGACAGTCCCTGGTGGGCGAGGAAACTGAAAATATAAAACATGACAACGCCAGCAGCAACGCCACCAGAGGCGAGAGCAGGCTGGGCAGGCAGCCCCCAGGGTGGGCTAGAGAACGCCCAGCCGCGTGGTGGATGGTGGTCAGCATGCCATGGCAGTAACATGACGGAAAAAGTAGGAAACTGAAGAAAGAAAATGTTTTGAAGAGATTCCCACTTATAGTGATGGCAATAGAGAAGTTTCACATTCAAGGAGTAAACCTTATTGATCTGGAAATTTCACTTTTAAGCATCTATTCCCAACAGTCTGGATAAATGAGGTGTTGTTCCGTGATTACATTTTCTCATACATTCTGTCTGACACAGATTGTTCCCTTTGATCCTGTCTGTCCGTCTGTCTGTCAGTGTCCGGACAGGATCCCCCAAAATCAAGAGAAACGACCATCAAATCTTATTATTTCATTGATAATTTTTTTTTTTTTTTTTACCAATGAGCCAACATTTTGCTTTTTCATTACCCTACATAATCACTTTTTTTTACCAGTGGGACTCTTGGTGTGAGATGTGTCTTATATTAGAATTATGTTGTTGCTTCCGAGAGTGTGAAATTTCAAAACTTGAGAGGAGGAGATCGTTTCTAGCAAGTTTCTATGTGTTTAGACATTTGAGAAATCTTTCTTTAGAAATATCTTTGGGCGCCTGGGTGGCTCAGTTGGTTGAGCGACTGCCTTCGGCTCAGGTCATGATCCCGGAGTCCCGGGATCGAGTCCCGCATCGGGCTCCCTGCTCAGTAGGGAGCCTGCTTCTCCCTCTGACCCTCCCCCTTCTCGTGCTCTCTCTCTCTCTCTCACTCTCTCTCTCAAATAAATTAAGAAAGAAATATCTTTAATTTCCAGTAGTAGGGGAATTGTATAATTGGAGAAATTGAATCCATTTCTTCCAGAATTTGTCTACAGAGAGAAATTGTAGAAAATGGAATGTTACGGGGTGCCCGGGTGGCTCAGTTGGTTGAACATCCGACTCTTGATCTCCGCTCAGGGTCGTGCCTTTGAGCCCCTTGTTGGGCTCCATGCTGGCCGTGCAGCCTACTTTAAAAAAAAAAAAGGGGGAATGTTATATTGTAGATCAATGGACATTCGCTCATCACATAAATGCTGAGTGTCTTCCATACGCCAGTGCTGTGCTCAGTGCACAGAGTCTAAGATGCTGTCAGGGGTACCCTAGTTTTAGAGATGTTAAAAGATGGGGAAAATGGCAGGCATTCACTGGAAGATACTAAATATTGCAATATTGCATCATGATTTCAGAGATGTTAAAATGTGAGGGAAAAAATCTGCCTGAGAATTGATGAGATACAGTGATCACTCTAACAGCCAACAGTTCATGAACGCCGACCACCTGTCAGGTGCTCTTCTTAGCCCTTTGTAGGAATTAACTCATTTTACCTTCACGACAGCCATTCAGGCAGACGCCGTTACTATCCCCATTTTAAAGATGGAGAAATGGAGGCAGAGAGAGGTAACTTGTCCAAGGTTGTGTACCTAGTAAGTGGTGGACATGGGGTTTGGACTTGGACAGCCTCTTCCAGAGTGTGTGTCCTTAACCATCATACATACAGCCTCTTGATAACCCACGGTGCCTGGCTTCCTCCTCCTCCTCCTCATTGTCATCTCCGTTTTACAGATGAGGAAATCGAGGCTTCAAGGTATAAGTGAGAACCCAAGGTTCAGTTATTAGTAAATAGTTGAGCCAGAACTAACACTCCAGTCTGACTGGAACATTAACCATCCCGCTCTACCGTTACCCTGGGTCCCCCTGCTGGCCCCCTGCTCACTGCCTCCAGTGAATAGGCACCTGCTAATTATCTGTTCTTGCTGATGACGACACTGACTTACTGAAAACTGGGTCGATCACTAAAGCTTTTCCTACTAGAAGGACAGTTCATTTCGCTCAAATGACTACTCTCAGATGATTAGAATATTGACTAGCCCTGTCAGATATCGAAGAGCCAATTAATGGCATGAGAGGATGACCACACAGGGTTTATTGAGCTGTCTACTTGATGCACATTGATGTGCAAGATCTGGTGAAGGTAGAAAAAAAGAATAGAAGATTTATTTTTTTTAATGATTTTATTTACTTAGAGAGCAAGCATGAACACGGGGGAGGGACAGAGGGAGAGGGAGAGGGAGAAGCAGACTCCCCGTGGAGCAGGGAGCCCGAGGCGGGGCTCAATCCCGGGACCCTGGGATCATGACCCGAGCCGAAGGCAGACGCTTAACCGACTGAGCCACCCAGGCTCCCCCGAAGATGCGTTTTTTGATAAAGAGTGTAGAGTCTGTTGAAGAGAGAAACTATATGAAAATCACAATCATTAGAGGAAATGAATTGCTTGGGACAATTTTCTCTTTGCCCAGTAGGTGTCAGATGAGGCAGAGATGATTGTGAGCTTCACCTGGAGGAGTGGCAGATGGAGGCAAATGAGGGAGAGGATGTCTCATTCACTGCTACCTGCCAACCTCTGCTCTGGAGGTGGGCACAGTGGGGACAGACATGGTGTCACCCACGTGGGCTCACACTCTGAGGAAGAGAGAGACGCCGAACAAGTAAATCAAGAAAGAGTTCGAGACAGGGATAAGTGTTATGAGTGAATAAAACAGGTCATATGTCAGAGTGATGGGAACGGAGTATTTCAGACAGAGAGAGCTAGTGCAAAGGTCCTGAGGCCACCATGAGGTTAAGAGGCCAGTGTGGCTGGAGCACAAGGAAGAGAGTTATAGGCAATGAGGTAGGTAGGGGCCAGTGGGGTGGGTAGGGCCAGGTTATTCCAAGAATTCAGGTTATTCTAAGTTCAACAGGAAGCACTAGTGGATTTTAAAGCAGGGGAGAAGCATCTTTTGATTGGTGTAGACCAGCGCTTCTAAATCTATCTATAGTGGAAGACAGTTTTTTGTTCATTTTTTCCCCTGATCTGTTGTGGACCAGAACTTTTGTAAAATACATAAAAATTAGATACTGGAAAAATGATGATGTGCTTGGATGTCACAGCAATGTTGAATTGCCATAAAAGTTCCCGGTTGCTCTTAGTTTTGTCATCTCTTAAACCAGTAACAAACAGCCCTGGACCAGTATCAGTTCATGGACTATGCTTTTTAGAAGGATGTTTCTGTTTAAAGAATGTTTTAAAGAGTGAATGGGCCATAGGTGGACGTATTGGTCATCTCTTCCAACTGCAAACAACAGCATCTATTCTCGCCAGTTTAACCGCAATGGATGTATGGATATGGATGGCTTCACAGAGTCGCTGGGAGACGCTGAAGAGACGCTCTGGATGTGGCATCCAGGAAGCAGCTTCTGAAAATGATTCTGCAGGATTGGGCTGTCAGGGAGGCGACTGCCTCTGCACAGTCAGGAAGCCGCCTTCATCACCATCTGCGCTCACACTGGATGCTCTCCCTTCTCTTGTCTGCCCTCGTAACTCGGGCCTGAATCCTCTTCCCTGAGTGGTCTGATTTAGGCAGAACCCCGTCACATCTGCAGCTGCCAGCTACAAGCAACCCGAAGAACATTGCTTTGGACTTTCACACTTAGCCTGCGAGATCGGGGTTGGGATGGCTCTCCACTGTGAGCCGT